CTCTAGCAAGGAGAAATGGAATATGGGGGTAAAGCGTTTGACAATCAAATATAAACTACTTTTATGTAATTGCCAGCAAACTAAGTAAAATGATGTTATAAATGAGTCTCATTTCCCAGCTTTGTTTAAAGTCTTTCAAATATCTTTCCACTTTCCTCTCATGCTGTGACCTCATTCTATGAGTTTCACTGAAAACGGGCTCTATGGAAATGGCACTGATATTAAAAGCCATCCCTCCTTCTTCCTCTAATTCACTGAGTGTTTAATAAAGACAGCGTGCCTGTTTACTATGGTAGAATTTACATAGATGCAGTTTCTGAATCTAAGCAAAATGGAGATTAAAATAACATTGAGTTCCTTCCTCCAGTGCAAACTGGCACAGAAAATATAGTGTCCACCCAGAGCAGAGAGTGTGAGTCCCTTCACCCACCAGTTCTAGCCTCCCCTCCCATCCAAGCTGGGCATCAATCATGTTAGAGTTTGCCACCCATTGAAATAGAACTTCAAAGGGGGAAATGAGATAGGATAGCAAATTCTTTTCAACTAAAGGAATAGAGCAGATAGAGTTCCCCTTGCTGGCTGAGTCCATTCTCAGCCAGAGGGCAATGGGCAGGAGGATTACCCGGTGGTGGACAGCAGTCTCTCCCCTTTTCATCACCTCTTCCTTAGCTCAGGCCAAGTGTAGAGGGAGGCTGTGGGTGAGCTGGACAGAGTGCCAAAGATGTGATTGCTGGCGGATCGGAATTTTCTCAGACCCTCAACCAGGTGTAATAAGACATAAAAACACCACACCTGTCTTTTATTGTACCGTCCTTCGTTTTCTTATATTTCTTTTTCCAACTTCTAGAACTTTTGGGGTCTTTATGACTATTAATATTAAAGAGACATGCATGGATGTTCTTATTTTCCATGGAGCCATGGTGGCCTTACAGCGTGCCAGCTAGACTTACGAATGCCAGAGTTCTCTTCAACGCTCTCATTATTCAGTCTTTCTAGATCATGCCACACTTGGACTTTGGGAAGCTATAAGGCAGAATGAAACACCGTCCCTGCCAGGTTGCTGGAGCCTGGGCTGGCTCAGCAGTCTGGACGGGCTGTTGAAGACTGTCCTAAAGGCCAGTTCCAGTGAATGAGTCTCCCCACACGCAACCTGATATTCAGACCAGATGCAGCTCAGGTAGTTTCAGCAATCAGAACCTTGTGGCTAGGGCAAGGCTTCTGTGGGCTATGGTCACAGCATTTAGGGGTGCTTTTGCAGACGGAGCACAGGAAATGAGCCTCCTCCCGTGGGGCATACACAGAGAGGAGGTGCGTTGCCAGGAACAGACCGTGACACCTTCTTCTATGGCATACTTAATGGCAGATTCTGAGAAGCACACTGGGACTTCATGCTTAATATTTATGCTTGCATATACCAGTGATCCGTGCCAGTGGAACATGGATTAAAAAATCCACAGAGAAGTCCAGAGTTAATTTTAGTTATTACTTCAATCCAGCCCTCCATCTCTTGCATGTCTTGGTTAGGTTGGGTGTGAAGAACTTGAGAGCAACGAAGGCTGTTAAATACTGAAGTATTATATGAAGAATACTATTATGAAGAATAATAAGCAGTTGCTCTTTCCCGGAGAACACTAGAGACCTGCGCCCGTCTGGAGAGTCTAAAGGCAGTGAGTGTCCTTTGATGGAGTTTATACTATGCCCAGGGACAGCTCCTTTGAGTCCCAGAAGCCTATGTACTCTTCAGTGTTTCTAACTTTGCTTCTTTGCCTCTTTCCCTTCTTTCACAATCTGCTGCAGAGGAGATGAACAGCAAAGAGAAATAAAAGATTTGAGAAGCAGCGATTGCAGTGTGTGGCTGACTAGCCTCCATGCTTGCCTCTCGGTGTTTTTGTTTTGACCCTGCCACATAGATACTTTGTAACTGAGTGAAGGACTTCCCTTCTGTGTGCTGCAAACCTCACAGTGAGAAGGAGGTAATAAGAAATGGCATATAAAATGCAGGACTCTCAACTGAGCTAATCCATCCACAAGACCTCTAGATCAGTACTTGGTATATGATAAACAACGAACATTACTTATTTGTTATCACAACAGCATGAACCCACAGTGCTTTCTATCGGCATAAAAACAGAGACAACATTTTTGTGTTGATTAAATCTACTTCACAGTTTTCCAAAAGAAAAAGTTTGTGTGAGTGAGTAACTGACAAGCTTCCACTATGAATAGGGGTCTTTCACCGCTTCTTAGACTATTATCCAAGATATGTCATATTTGCCTCTCATATTAAAATGAAGACCAAAATATATGCTAAAATATTTATGCTTTATCAATGTAGAAAGGGCATGTTGACCATGATACAGAACATCTCTCCTAGGCACCTTAATGCAAGAACACAACTAGTTTTGGCACCAACAACAATAAAAAAGAGTTACCAATTTAAAAAGCTCCTCTCTTTTGATTTGGTTCCATAGAAGATATAAAATAGCCAATATCTCAATAATCACTTTAAGATCAGGCAGTGGTGGTACTCGCTTTTAATCCCAGCAAAGGCAGAGGCAGGTGGATCTCTGTGAGTTTGAGGCCAGGCTCGTCTACAGAGTGAGTTCCAGGATGGCCAGGGTTACACATAGAAAACCTGTCTCAAAAAAAAAAACAAAAATACAAACAAAAACCACAAAACACCATTATCAACCAAAGGTTATTTTGTCTAAAGTCTAGGATTTAAGGGCAACTCTTTCCTGCAAATGAATAAATCTGTAGCTGACTAAATGGTCTACCTTGTGGCATCTCTGCTGCTGGTTTCCTGAATATCAACAGAAGAGCTTTTGGCTTCTTTCAGGCATGGTTTCCTCATCTATAAAACAGTGGTGTGTGTTATGACAGTAGAACCATACCTAACTTCCCATTCCTAGGTGAGGTGAGGGTAGGAAAGTTATTAATGAGAGTTCATAACTCGGTAGTCATTCAGAAAAACAGTGCGCGTGCACACACACACATACACCATACAAGATTTCAGCCATCAGATCATAATACTATCAATTATCATATTCTATTAAAACTGAGACATTTATTTTTATGGAATAATGCAGCATTCTCATTATATATATAGACATCAGTAATGTTCTTTTCTTCTTCCTCATCATCTCCAGCTCTGCTCCATGTAGACCCTCTCTTCATCCCAACACAAAAGTTAGCAACCACAACCGTAGAGATTGAGACAAAAAAGTTGTTTTGCTGACTCAGGGGACACCCCTCCTCCTTGTGATTTCGAATCCTTCCCCATAGACAGGGTGTGTGTGTGTGTGTGTGTGTGTGTGTGTTTGTGTGTGTCCTGTTTGCATTTTCATGGGGGGTGGGGCAGCAGGGTTTGTGGGAGAGAAGGTGGAGCAAAGTTTCTTTTTCCGGGCAAAACGTTCCTTGTAAAAGTAATGCTATATATACATGTTTATATATAATCTATCCAGTGCAATCACAACTGCCCTGCCAGACACTATGAAGTTCCACCTTGGTCGATGTATTTCTGAAGTTTTAAACAGCTGTCTGACAACAGCTGCATTTCAGTAAGACTTGGGCAGGTGGCTCCAGATCAGCCACTTGCCACTCATAGGCAGGCTGAGGCTTCTGTGTTCACAGTTCACAGGAAAGAGTGTGTCTTCTTCTGTCCAGAGTGGATGCAGTGGTGAGGGCATGGGTAAGGTGGGAGGTGGAGGCTGGGTCATGAGGAAAAAGTCTGGCTTCTTTGTACTTCTCTATCATGGTTTTTGTTGCAAATTCATACCAGTGTAAAAATTATTCACAGCAAAAAGTCTCATTTTCTTCTCTTCCAAGAGTGCTTATAGTACATCAGCCAGCTGAGCAATCTCACCATAGATATTTGCAATGCTTTGGCCAAAAGTCATTAAATGCAACTTAAAAGGGATTAATTTGAGACAACATTTCTGTAAACTCAGTTTTTGGTTTTCCTACCATACTGGGAGATTTGAAGCCTCTGCCTTTTCACGCTCTCTCACCCACTAAGCCAGAGACAAATGCTGAGTCCCTGCTGGAGGTCTGAAGACAGAAGCGGGAGGGGAAGCAGATCAGCTCAGAAGATGCTCACTGAGACTAACAAGGACCTGCAAACCAAGACCAGAAGCCATTACAAACCCATCTATGTTAGCTCTGGCTGTCACCAATGGAACTACTCAGAGACCAGTAGCAAGGACGGTAGTCTGTCTAAAACCCATCTAGACCGTTGACTTGATCCTGAGTCTACAAACCTGAAAATAAATAAATAAATAAAAGTTGGCATGGCAGGCGGGGGGGGGGGGGGGGGGCAGGATACTTAAGGAGGGTGGAGACAAATGCACCATTTTTCTAACGAAACTTACACACTTCATCCACAGCCGGTGGGGTGACTGTGAAAACTACAAACTTCACCTACAGCCGGTGGGGTGGGTGTGAAAACTACACACCTCGTCCACAGCTGGTAGCGTGAGCATGAAAGCTACACACTTCACCCACAGGACAGGCAGAGTAGGGTGAAGCAAAGCTGACGGAGACTTAGAATCTTCATCTGAAGAAAGGGGGGAAGGGCAAAGGCCTAGCCAATACTTGGCCTTATTTTAAACGTTTGTCATTTGCTCTAAAAATCAAAAAGAAGGCAAGCCCTTCAGATCACCCCAATTTTCACCGGAATGAAATGAGCGCATTTGAAGCTCAACTCCAAGATAGTCATCTATGGTCTTTGAATTACCATCAAAACCAGCCTAACAGGGCAGTTAAGCTGATGTAAGAGACCCCAGGAGTCACCCGTATTCTGGATCAGTGCTGCGCAGCATCAGTGAAATGCCCTGGCGCCATAGGCACCACCGGAAGAAGAAACAATGGAGCCTTTTAATAGCATATTTTATTTAACCCAATATCACCAAGAGGCAACTGCTGGACATATTAGAACATGCAAACTCAGTATAAAATGTTAACGAGGTGAGGTTTTACATAGTTTTTTTTTCTTTTGTAGTTTTGGAATTCCAGTGTGTATTATGTCTGACAGCACATCACCGTTCATCCTAGCCACAGGGTAAAGGCTCAGTAGTCACATGTGGTTAGTGGCTACGGTTCTGACCAGAGCAGGCTAGAATCTTTCCAGCGAACTTTCTTCAAAGAACAAAAAGAGTCCTCCTCTGTACCACCAAGCAGCCAGGCCGAGGGCAGGGGGCTACTTTCTAGAGACATCTACCCGTAGACACAAAATGATGGCATGCACTCTCTCAGCCACATGGTCCTGGGGGGTCTCCCAAGGGAAGTCGGGGCGCCTGGAGCTCAGCCCAGAGTCGGGTACAGTGCTGGAGGGGCTGCGGGGAGACTGCACTCCCTCCTCCGCTTACCTGAGTCCACGCTGAGGCCCAGACTCTGGGCCACGTCCCCGGTGGGGCTCACGAAGGGTCCCCCAGGCGCGGCCCACGCGCCTCCCGCCGGCTCGCCCTTGGCGGCGAGCTCGCAGGGCGGGCTGCCGGGAGCAGGAGCAGAGGCAGGGGCCAGGCGGCCGGAGCGGCCAGAGGCTGCGGGCATGAGCAGCGGCCCATAGCGCGGATCGAAGTGGGGCGCGTAGACCTCGTGCACGGCTGGCCGCGGGTAGCCTGAGGCTTGCGCTCCCAGGGCGCCGCCCAGCGCGTAGGGATGGTGTGGATGCGGGTGTGCGTGGTGCGGGTGTGCGTGGTGCCAGTCGGCCGCGCCCTGGTGCAGGTGGCCGTGCAGCGCAGCAGGAGAATAGGGGTCGGCGGTGAAGGGCAGCTCTGAGTGTGCGGCGGCCAGAGGACTGCCCAGCGGCGCGGGCACCGGTGCCTGGTACGTGCTGTTCCAGAAGGAGGCGGGGAAGCTGCGCTGGCTCATCGGGAAGGTGCCTTCTGCTGGTCCGGGATGGGAGGAAAGCGAAAAAGGAGTGTCACCGAAGCCTTGCCAGCCTACCGGACAGGGGGCGTAGGGTTCAAGGGCTGGAAGGCTGTGGAGGGGGTAGGTACCGCAGCCTTCACCTCTGGGCGATCTTCTAAGAGGCCTGCTGCGGGTGACAGTGAGGCCAGGTCACTGAGAAGTGATGGCTCCCTGAAAGCCTCCCAGAGGACATTCGAATCACCCAGTTTTCTAGATGGGCTAGCAACAGAATTTCTGATGGTGGAGGAATTCGGAGATTTTAGAAGAGAGCTTGTCCTGTCCCCTTTGGTCCAGGGCAGACAGACTCAATCTCTCTTTTCCAAGCTGCAGATGGAGACCCTTGTCTCAGACCCTGTCTGAGGTCTAGCTGTCTCACTTCCTTCTCTACTGTCTTAACCCTCCCCGCTCCAGAACATGTTCAAGGTAGGTGTCCGTTAGACCGGGACACCAAGGATAGACTTCCGAAGCTTGTTATTAATAAGTGGTGTTATTTTCTAGAGGTCTTTCAAATATTACTCCTCTCGCGAGAATTCAAGGATATGAGTCAATAATAATAAAAATAACAATAAAGATAATAATAAATCAGTCATCAGTATTGCTAACAACTCCCTAGATTATGGTAGAATAAGAGAAGGGCGCTTAGGTAGTTTGTTGCCTTGGGTAGAGAAGAGAAAGACATTCAACTCAAAGTCCCTTGTTGAACATCTCCTCTGGGGAAGGCATAGGTACCACACGCTAGAAAATCTAAAGCGACTTGGAAATCACCTTTTGAATGGTGAACAAATGTCTCATTGAAAAATAGTTTAGGCAATGGGAGCGAAATAAGAGGAAGTTTTATATCGAAAATGAATGCTTCGAAATCTTGTCTAAGGGCAACGTTTGTGCAAAATGACAGATACTACTTTAGGAATAACTAGGAGAGCAATGAGGGCTGCGATTCCTGCACAGATGACAAATGAAAATTCTCTCTCTCTCTCTCTCTCTCTCTCTCTCTCTCTCTCTCTCCCCTAACAAAAATTTCACTTCTCAGCTCAGTTACATGTGAAAGAATGAACTGCCTGAGCCTGTTTATGGATGATTTTCTCAACTTCCGTGTTGTTGGTAACCGAGGAATTGCAGCTAAGGATGGCTCCCATGACTGGTCCATGGTTAGAGGAGAGCAGTTCTCTGTAGGGAATGTAGAAAAAGGCTTCTCTAGATCACGAGACTGTTAGAGTTTTGTTTCTTTGCTATACCACTGGCTTGCATTATCAGAATTTCTGCTTTAAGATTTCTCAAGCATTCGAAGCCTGTCAAAAGGTTGACAAGTTTTAGGAAATACTCTTAAGCAGATTTCACTTGCAGGGGGAGGCGGGTGGGCAAATTTTCAGAAACTGGGAAGGAGCCTCGTACATTGTTGGCGGAGGTTCTCCTCCATTGGGTGTGGGAAACCTCCAGTTTCCACAGGACATCAATAGACATGTCAAATTTTGATGCTTAGAGCCATCTCTGGGGATTGTTAGGAGGGCAAGTGTTATTCTAATTTTAGAGACCGGTAAATACTGACCTCCACGAGGTTAAAAGACTTGCCCTAGGTCATAATGCTAGAAATTGGTAGAGCCAATGCACACATCTAAGGGCTCCAATTCCAAAGCCAGTTTTTGCCTTTCACTGCTGGCAGGCCACAGCTTTCCTCTGTAGTTTTTAGAAGAGCTTGCGCCCGTGCCTTTTCCCTCTGCGTTGTTATGCCCCCCCCCCCCCCCACTTCAAATGCTGCCCTTCACCCTCTCTCTTAAGTTTACTACTTACTCTTTTAGGACCCGGGAGGCAGACTGCAGCAGGCAGATAAACCTCCACCTACCCTTCGCAGTGGGGTCCTACTCACCTCGCCAGGGTCCGGAGCTCCTGTGTGCTTTGCTGGTACAGCTGGGGGCGTAGCTGCTAGGCTGGCTCAGGGCCCTACTGAAATGTTCGTCCACCACAGAACTGATGTCCCCCCGGAAGTAGGTGAAGAGGACACATCTGGAGTTGATGTACTCAGCTTCGGGTGGGCGCTCTTTCTCCGGGCTGCCCTCCTCTTCTTTTACACTGGCTGGGGTTTGGTTGGAAAACGAGGAACTCCCACTGGCACTGCTGCTTGGGCTGGCGTTGCATTCTTGGGCTTCCTGCATTTTTGAGTAGTAGGCTAGTTTCTAGAAAGAGAAAGAGAGAGGAGAGAGAGGAGAGAGAGAGAGAGAGAGAGAGAGAGAGTTAAAAGTCATTTCTGAAGAGATGGTCAATGTAGGATCATCCTTAAGGTAGCCGTTGAGTAATCGGCATCTCTGCCTAAGCTATAAAAACCAGCACAGTTGCCTCTCTGCCTTCAATATTCCCTAAAGAAAACCTGCCCTCTTTGATACTTTCCCTTCCCAGAATTGCAGGAAAACTGTCTTAAAATGTTGGGGTGAAAAATCTCAGAAGTCATTGGACTGACAGAACAATCAATCAATCAATCAATCATTAGTTATTCAATAAAACAAAGAGAAAACAAAACAAATGAAGAAAAAGCAAACCAGATTGTGAGGACTGTAAACGGAGTTCATCTTTCAGAGCTGCGCTCAGGGCATATAGATTTTTCCAATCAGTCTGCAAGGATCAGGGCGGCACCCAAGTTAAGCTAGCAGTTCTGTACATGAGAACTCAGAGCAGAAACACAAGACACAAGATCATCCTCATGATGAAACAGAAGAGCAACAACAATGAACAAAGGGTTCCACATTACACAATCAGGAATGAAGTGCTACAGAAAACAAGAAGGAGTTCCAGACTCATGACTGGGGAAACTCTGGATCTTTCTAATACATGCAAATTGATTTTTATATGGGCGCCCACAAAAATCTCTAAAGTTGGGGTCAGTTGTTTGCATTCATTTGATTGGTTTGGGTGCAAGGTTTCCTACAGCCTAGGCTGGCCTGAAACTTGCCAAGCAGCTGAGAGTGGCCTTGAACTAAGATCTTCCTGTCTCAGCCTTTCAAGTGCAGGGGCTACAGGAGAATTCTCTGTGTTTGTCATTTAAAACAGATTATTTATGTAAGGAAAAGTCAGCAAAGGATGAGCACACTGGTATCTCCAAACAGAAGTTATGAAAGGAGCACAGTGAAGAAGGTTGGGATCCTGATGTACTCCTGAGCCAGTCACTGTATCAATGGAACTTTAAGACTAGATGCAGCTACTGGGAACATCTTAGAAATGAGCCGTGCATTGGTTATAGTGCTAAATCATTTTCAAGGCAGATGTGGCCTTGAAAGCAAGGGCAGAGGCATACAAAGAGAAGAGATTTTATGTAGTAGACAGGTCTGGGGTCCAGGAGGAAAAAGGACCAGCTAGAGGACCAAAATATCCCTCCTTTTTGAAGTAGATCATCCTACACTGGGAAAGGGCTTCTGGCCCCAGAAGCTGGGGCCCCAAAATTCTAATTTTGAACATCTTCACCACACCCGAATGGCATGTTCTTGCTTCATTCACCATGAGAAATCATGGCGATTCCTAAACGTAACACAAATTAGGACTTGATATTCTAGGTTGGAAAGTTTGCCCGGGAAGAGGGGGCACCTAAAGTAAAATCTATTCATTTTATTATCTGAATATATTGTTGGGGTTTGCAAACAAAATTACTTGAAGTACTGACGCAAACAACAACAGTTCGTTTCACTGTTCCCTAAAGAGAAGACCAGGTGCTTGCTTTCCAGCCTGGTCCGGAACTCTGACGCCGTAGGTGTGTGCTTTTCCTTTTGCCCTGGAATACTGTTCTCAGATTCTGCTACCTTCGCCGTGGACACGGAAGGAAAGAAACAGCCGTTGACAACACACACAGCCCACGGAAAGGAGAAATCAGAAATCGGCAGACTTGAATGAAACTTGGACAGTTTGCAGGAGCGGGGTTAAATGATCTTAAAAACGACTTTGGGCTGTCGCATTCTACCACTTGGGCCCCAGAAGGGTGAGCTCCGGGGGCAGGCCAGTCACACCGGAATAGGGCTCCCTAGAACTCTGCAAGGCACAGGTCTCAAGGCCAGTGCGGTCTGGCTGGTTTCTCCTGAAAACGAATCCAGCAGTTGGGGAGTTAGTTGGCCCGACCTGAAATGGAAGAGATTATTCCCAGGATGATCGCACGGTTCTCCATCTTAGAAAGACAAGGCGGGCTTTTATTTTCTTTTTTGTTTTTATTCCTACGGCCAAGATCAAAGTTTGAATTTCCCAGCGTGAGCTTTGCGGGAGCCCTGCGCACTCGAACTAGACTTTAGGAAGAAAATTCAGTAGGAACCATCCTCATTTGTTTTCTGGGAAGGCTTAGGTGCATATTAGCACGACTTAGGTGCCCTCCCAGGACAGTAAATGGACCAGCTAAAGATAATTAGCTGCGCACCCGGCATCCCGACGTCTTTGGCTGCCTGTTTGTCGCTCTTGGCGCTCAGAGGCTCAGGCGACCTTTCGGGTAGCGGTTCTTTCGTAGTCTGGGGTGCTCCACTGGTGCCCGCCCCACCCGAACAGACTCGTACCTGGTGGTAGGGAGTGTATGCGGCTGCGAAATAAGGCTGCGGAGGACCGTAGACCTGGTACATAACATCCAGACAGCTCATGGCTCCCCGCCGCGGAGGCAGCTGAGTGGTTTCTCATCAACGCTGTTTTGGAGGAGCTCAAGGATGCTGCAGCGGGGACAGTGGCGACAGAGCCCCAGAGTCATGGGCCGCGGGGCAGTGCTGGGCTGGCGATGTGGCCAGCTCGCTCCCCTCCCACTCCGCGGTTCCAGCCCGGCCGAGCTCCCGGGCAGAAGCGCCGGGGCTCCCGCTAGTGCGCATTTAAACCCCGCAGCCCCTGGCGCGCTGACGCTGCGAGGGGGCGGGGACCAAAGGACAGCTATGTTTCGGAGAGTTTCCCGGGACTACCTCGCGGGAAGCTTGTGGCCTGGGTGTCAGGGAGTGAATTCTGAAAGTGGAGCCCCAGACTTCCCTCCCGGAGTAGCGATTTCCCTATTCCCTTTCCACGAGGGACAGAGACTGCAGAAACACAGAGACAGAGAAACCAGGAACAGTGATAAACCAGGGTGCGGGTACCGGCAGAACGCAGGAAAGTCGCAGGCAGGGCTTAGGGCAGAACCTCTGCCTGCAGTCCCCAGAAGAGGTATGGGGAGGGATAGAGCTGTCTTTTGGAATCCCTGCGGGATCAAGGTTGCCACAGATGGGTTAAGAAAGGAGACACGGGACTCCGCGGGGAAGTGGCAGGCAGTGGTTAAGACTTGCTGTCCCATCTCCTGTGCGCTTTCACCAACCCTTGTTCGGGTCCCCAGTACCCCATCTCCTGTTTTAATTCTTCCTTCTTGGGTCGTTCCTTTTCTCCGTTTTAAGTTCTATCCCACCCCTTTCTCTTTGATGCTTTCAACGAACCAACTTGATTCCCGTGGATGGCGCCTGTTCTGTGTGAACTACTTTCTAAGATTTCAAAAGCTCCTACCCAGCCCTCTTATGCCAAGCCGGAGTCTCTACCTGGCCCTTTAAAAGTTCCTTAACGTAGTACTTACATAGCAGCTCATAACTGTCTAATGCCAGTTCCAATGCACATAAGAATAAAATTAAATAAAATTTGTTTTAAAAAAATAAAAAAAAGTTCCTTAACGTTTAGATCAGGGACTTCTTGGTTCTAAGACGCACCTCAGCACTGCAATCATAGTACTTAGGTTGTCTCTTTGGTTAGTTATAAAAGCTGTAATGGTCTGTTCCATTTAAGAAGGCAAGACTGTGAACCATGCCCCTTAGTGATACCTTTTCTTGTCAGCGTTCCCAGCGGTGTGGGCTCTTATTGCGGGTTCCCGAGGTGTGTGTGTGTGTGTGTGTGTGTGTGTGTGTGTGTGTGTGTTCCCGGTGTTTTCTCCAAGCTCCACCAGAAACCCTCCTGGGAGGGGAGATGAGATGTAACAACAGAATCCTCCCTCTAGTCTATGGGTGAATTGACCCATGGTTACTTCGTGGCAAGGTCAAGCGGCAAAAATGTTCTTTAGATGGGAGGAACCTCAAGGAACCGTGGAGAGCAAGTTTTGGGGACAGCGCTGGGGGGAGGGGGCACAGATGGTAAGCTTCCAGAACCCAGAACCAAGTAATGTATAGATGAAAGTGAGCAGAAACCTTTTTATCTGCCAGATTAAGTCCCAGAACTCTGATTCTCGTTCAATTGCGAGCAATTAACTTCTGAAGATACCTCTTTTTTGATAAGAGGAGCATTTGAAATTAAATTGCTGCTTTAATTTAATTGTATTGGAATCTGTATTTTTGCTTTTTGTTTTTCAGAAAGGGGCTCCAATTGAGCTTATAAATAGGAAGCCATCCTGAGGGATTCCTCAAGTAACTATAATGTAATGTATAAACGGTGCTGGACCATGAACACACTATAATCCCAACACTTTGCATGCTGAGGAAGGAGGACTACCAGGTTTCAGGCCAGTCTAGTTTACATAACATGTCACCATCTCAGAAAACCAAAATAAATATGAATGAATTCAAATAACTTCCCAGTACAGTTTTTAGGGGTTAGGCCAAGGTGGCTTAACTAGGGGGCTGGGGTCGCTCTGGAGTTTTATACTGTGGAGGTGCACAGATGAAAGAACATCCCTCTCAGCTCTCTGCTACTCTTGATCAAAAGAAGATGCGCACTGTGCCCATCCCTCTCCCCAACCTGGACCACAATCCATTGGATTCAGGAAGCCTTGCTCCTAGATGCCACACCACACTCACTTGCATCAGGTTGACTATTGACTCGGCAAGGCAGGCTGGAAGCTAGGAGCTGACTCAGGTCACATGTCTAAGGACATCTCAGTAGGCCAGGTGATGCAGGCCCAGCTTTTGCTGTGTCCCAACCCAGTTTCAGATGTTCAAATCTCCAAGTCTGTCTTTGAACAGAGAGGGTCCACTTTCAAAGAGTGCTTCTTTAGGAGGCTCTGCTGCACAGAGGTGTGTGTGTGTGTGTGTGTGTGTGTGTGTGTGTGTGTGGTAGGGGAGCATGCTGGGGAGGAAGCTGAGAGAAAGGCAGGAAGGATGGGGTTCTCTGCTTTTGTCCTCCTCACCTAACCTACTCCTTTTTAGAGTAAGGGTTTAGCCACAGATGTTTTAGTTGGATTGACTCCCTCCCTCCCTCCCTCCCTCCCTTCCTCCTTTCTTTCTTTCTTTCTTTCTTTCTTTCTTTCTTTCTTTCTTTCTTTGTTGGGGAGCTCCTTCCTCTCCTTCAGCCAATAGCCACTGAGATACCAGCCCATTGGGGTGTGGTCTCTCTCCCTTTAAAAAAGCGGCTACTTCCCTCTCCTCTCTCTCTTACTTCCTGCTCCACTCCGCAACTAGACTCCCTTCCTGATTGTGCAGAGGGCTGTTGTCTGGGACGGCGATCTGTAAGTTTTTTTCCCTTTAAATAAATAACCATTCTATTAATCATAATTCCAAACTGGTGTGGGATTGTTTGTGACTTACACCTTTGCCTTCATCTGGCGCCAGGAGAGGAGAGGGAATTGGCTGCTTTTTTAAAGGGAGAGAGACCACGCCCCAGTGGGCTGGTATCTCAGCGGCTATTGATTGGCTGAAGGAGCAGAAGGAGCTCCCACAACATTTCTTTCTTTCTCTTTCTCAGCTTTGGCTTTCTAGGGAAAAATCCTGACAACTTCTTCAGGTCCAACAAGGCCCAGTAATATGTTATATCTGGAAAGGCTCATTCTACCTGGGTAGACTGTGGAAAGGATGGAACGACAATGTAATGGTCCATGACATTGTTTGGTCCACACGTCTCCATCCCGCTTACAGGAGATAGTCTACAACAATCTTGATAAGTAGTGATGGTCCACAAGTTTAAAGGAATATAGGTAACTAGGCAGGAGAGCATTCCTTTCCATCAAAACCATAAATAGGAAAAATTAACAGTCCTAGAGTTTCAAAATACAACCCAAAGTGAAGCACATTACATGTTTTCTTTCTGAGAAGCTGTCAGGCACATGAAGGTGGTATTTTTCAACCTCTCCAGATGGTCTCTAGTGTATGGTGAAGCACAAAGTTACACTCAGGTCCCTTAAACCTTTTACTATCCTATCTGTTGAAGCTACCAAGTCAGGAAGATAGTAGAAGAAACCAAATTTTAGTCCAGAGACTTGGGACTGGGAAACTGATTACAGAAAACTAATGTTTCCATCCCTTTCTCTTCCCTATCTCACTTCCTGTTTCAGAGGAAAGACTTCGCATTAAATAGTTAAAATAATTGAGAATTGAGTTCCCATGTTCAAAAGAGTTAATAAACCATGGAAAAGAAACACAAAACCAATTGTATCAGAATGGGTTTAACTTTCTAATTACTTCAGGATAGATTCAATTTGTTGAACTCCAAGGATTAGACCAAAATGTCCTTTCTTTTTTTAAAATTAATTAATTTATTAATTATGTATACAATCGTCTACCTCCATGTATGCCCACACGGCAGAAGGGGGCGCCAGATCTCATTACAGATGGTTGTGAGTCACCATGTGGTTGCTGGGAATTGAACTCAGGACCTCTGGAAGAGCAGCCAGTGCCTCTTAACCACTGAGCCATCTCTCTAGACCCAAAATGTCCTTTCTAAAAAAAAAAAAAAGTTCTACTTTTAGTTTCTTTTTTTGTGTATTTTGCCTGCATCTATGTATGTGTGTGTGTGTGTGTGTGTGTGTGTGTGTGTGTATTGCATATATCCTGTCCCTGTAGAGGTCAGAAGAGGGCACAAGAACCCCTAGAACTGTGTGGTTGCTGGGAACGGAACCTGGGTTCTCTGGAAGAGTAATACATTTACTTAACCACTGAAATATTTCTCTAGATACCCAAAATGTCCTTTTAACATACTAGTTCATCAAGGTGTGGTGAATTATGCTTGAAATCCTAGAATGCTGGTAAGCTGATATAGAAGAATTGCCATGAGTTCAAGGCCAGCCTGGCTGCAGAAGGAGACCCTTTTCCAAAAGACAAACTAATCAAACAAATAGCAACCCCCCCCCCCAGTCTACAATTCTAACATGATCTGAAACTGTAAAAATAACTTACCACTCTTCTCATAGTCAGTAAGCCAAATCTTTGTGAGTTTCCACAGAGATCAGAAGAGGTCAGATGCCCTGGAACTAGAGTTATCAACGGTTGTGAGCCACGGTGTGTGTATGTTTAATCAAATCCCGTCTGCTAAACTGCTGAGCCAGCTTTCCAGCCCCAAGATGTATTTTTAAAGGACTTCTGAATAAAGCCAGATGAGCAAACCATGCCAGACCAGGCCCTCAGTTGCTTGTGGTTTGTTGGGATCTCAAGAGCTGGCATCGTTGGCTGCCTTATTCTGCCAACCCCTGGGCTGAACACAATGGTAATCTCAGAGATTTCCCTCCCTAAAGCCATCTTGCCACTTTAACTGAAGAGAGATGTGTTTGGACTTAGGAGAGCAGCTGACATGATTTGGTGGATTCAGGCTGTTAATAATATTACGTGGAAACATTTCTGCAGAGCTGGGTGTTCAGGTGTGGTGTGCCACCTACAAATGGAAGCCCACTCGTGTGTGACTTTGTTTGTGTGTTGTGAATTTGTTTCAGAGAAATAAAAGGAGG